CACAAACCGTGAGATCATGACCTGAGTCGAAGTCAGACGCTCAAATGACGGAGCCCCCCAGGCGCCCCTGGAACAGTTAACTTTCAGGAGCCTTCCGACCCCCCCTCCATTCATCCTCTACCTCTCTCTGGGCCACAGAGAGAGCTGCCCCACAGATGTGTGACCCAGGTCCTTGCGTGCTGGCTCAGGGCGAGGGAGGAGACGGTGTGGGAGAAGCAGGGACCAGGATGCCTTCCCGTGACCCTCCTGGGAGGTGGTCACTGTCCTCCTGGTCCATACCTCCGTCTCCACAGCTCTCAACACCACTGGCTCTGGAGACACTCCCCTCTGCTGCGTATCCCTGGGTACCTTGGAATATCTCGTCTGTCCCCTTCACCCTGCCCACAGCTCAGCCAACAGTCCCTTCACCGAAGATGCTTCATCTGGCTCCACTCTCTGTCTCTCTCTTTTCCTTTCTTCGCTCGTTGGGTTTCTTACGTTCCACAGCTGGGTGAAACCCCACGGCACTTGTCTTTCTCTGACTTCTGTCCCCTAGCACAACACCGTCTAGTTCCATCCACACTGTCACAAGTGGCAGGCACGATCCCATTCCTTTTGACGGACGAGTCATACTCCGCGGGTTCGCGCCCCACATTCACCCATCTGAAACTGGCACCACACTGTGTGCTAACCACACCGGAACTACACTTAAAGCCTTTAAAAACTTTTTACGAGGGGAGATGCTCCATGTGAACCACACTGGGCAAAGGCTGGTCCTGGCTGGGACGCTCGCCGTCCGCTACAAGAATTCTCCCCGACACGCCCGTCCGTGTTCATTCGAGGCACGTTTAGCTCGCCTGAAATGCACCCCCCCCCCCCCCCCCCCCCCCCCCCCCCGCCCCACCACTTACAGCCGCCAGAGGAGACCGTGTCAGAACTGGGACACTGGGTGAGCATCACGCACAGGTCACAGGACTGACGCAGGGCGGTGTGGGTCCTCCCGTGCTCCTGGGCTGTAGCTCCGGCCGGAGACTTGCTGACCAGGGTACCTGCTGCTGTAAGCCTGGGCCCCAAAGGCGTCAGAGGAGACAGCAGAGGGTGGGTGACAATCAGGGGAGAATGGAAAGGGTTTTAAGAAGTGGAAGCTTGGGGCGCCCAGGGGGCTCAGGCGGTTCAGCCTCCGACCTCGGCTCAGGTCACGATCTCAGGGTTTGTGGGTTCGAGCCCCGCGTCGGGCTCTGTGCTGACAGCTCGGAGCCTGGAGCCTGCTTTGGATTCTGTGTCTCCCTCTCTCCCTGCCCCTCCCCTGCTCACGCTCTGTCTCTCTCAAAGATAAACAAACGGTAAAAAAGTATTAAAAATTAAAAAAATAAAGAAGCAGGAGCCACAGGGCAGGGAGCCCAACCCTGGACCTGGTGTGGGGTGGGCTGGTAGCCGGAAAAACGCTGGGAACAGGCGCGCGGCCGCCTTGGGATGCGTATAGTAACTCGGGACCAGGGACAGGGTCTCTACAAGAGGAACAAGTTAGGACCATGATGCGGCACAAAAGGACCGATGTGCCCCAGTCCGCCCCACCTGAGCACGGGGTGCAAAGCCCCACTCGGCAAGGGACTCGTCCGTCCCGAGCCCTAGACTCGTGGACAGACACCGTGGCCCCCGGGATCACCATCCCCGCAGGTGACAAGCTCGAAGTCGTCCATCAATGGGAAGAGCAGCAGATGCCGTCCAGATGGCAAGACTGAGGCTCCAAGAGTTGGCGCGGCCGCCGAGCGTGAGGATGTGAGGTTCCCGTGCACGGAGGGCCGAGCGCCCGGGCGCAGCCCAGGCGGTCACCGTAGGCTGTGCCTCGGTCTGCTCAGCTGTGAAAGGGGCACAGCATCAGAGCCTCCTCCTGGGGGCCGGTTTGAGTGTCCCTGAGATCATCTGTGTAAGATGCTGAAAACAGCATCCGGAAAAGAGGGCTCAAAAAACCAGAGTGACCGTGACCCCCCTGTCACCTCATGGCCATCTTGTTACTGTCATTAGAATTACGCGGCTTTCTAAATTTATTAGGAGGCTAAGACATAAAGTCAACAAATACCAACCACCTGCTCACGTGCCCCCCTCGGGACACGGAAAGGCCCCCACGGAGCCTCAGGGAATTAGCAAACCACACCCCTGGAGCGTTCGCCCCGCCTCAGGGGAAAGTCAGTCCCCAAAGCCCGTCTTCCTGCCCCTGACGTGTCCTTCTTCTACCTGGACACGCAGACTCTGGGGAAGGACACCCCGAGTCCAGGTTTCCCCGATCTATAGAACGGGCTGACGGCATCTGCTTTGGTTGAGCTAATTAAGCGGTCACCCAAACGTGGGGAGTGGGAAACGTGGTCTGTGTTTCATAGGATCATTTTCTGGGCACAGAAAGTAATCCAACCAGGGGACTGAGGGTCCTCCAGAGCCAGAGAGAAATTTCTTCATCAAGCACAGCCGTTCCCACCTCATGCCCCCCGTGCCCACCTCGCTGAGCTACAACTGGGACACTCACCATCCCAAGAGCAGCAAACAGCTATGCAGTGACTGCTGTGTGTCAGGACTGGGCACACGGGAGAGTCATGAACCCTTTCATCAAACCCACAAGGCCCTGTTACTGTCTCTGCTATTTCACAAGTGGAGAAATGGAAACTCAGAGTTTAAGTAAATAACCTGTCCAGGATTAGATGTCTGGTACTTTGTTATCAGGGCTGGACCGGAATTCAGGTACGTCTAACCTGAGACACCAGGATTAACCACGAAGCGACCTTGCTTCCAGTAAGGCTCCCCAGCACCCAAACCAAACAGCATCGGCTCTGCCTATACTGCACAGCACAGGAGACAGATCAGTCCTGGCTGCTATGGACAGATGCGCAGGTTGTGAACTGCACAAAAGCTCCTGGCCAAGAGGGCACTGGTGGAGGTTGAAGTCTGCTCCATGCTCCGTTTCACAAGCCGTGCCCCTGGCTGGGAGCTGGGTCTTCTTGGAAAAGGAGGTATTTTCTCCATTTTATTATGCACAAAGGAAGCAGCTTTTTCTAAGTCACATAAAGTTGTCATGTTTCAAAGCAAAAGCTCTGGGAACGTCCTACATAAAATTGTCTCCTTCCCGTCTCAAGTCCAACGGGAGTGCTGTGGGATTGCTAGATCAATGCTGTCTCACACAAACGCGATGCAAGCCTCAAACACGGGCCAAAACACAGCGGATTTCCTAGCACCCGCAGTAAAAGGTACACAGAAACCAGTAAAATTAATTTGAAGAGCGCTTTACGTAAACCGATGTACCCCAATCCTTATGGTCTCAACACGCAATCACCACATCAATTATCCCCGAGATTTTTATATTCTTTGTTCATATTAAGCCTTCAGAATACAGTGTATATACACATTCAGAGCACATCATGATTTGCACCTGGCTGCCAGGGTTCCACAGGGCATGTGACTGCACTGGACGGGACAGAGTGAGGGGCACCTGAAGACACCGCGAGGGTGGCCCGCTGGCCAGCTGTAGCGGGGAAGGCGCAGGGCACACGGACCTCACTCCTCGTCCCTGAGATCCTGATTTTATATTCTGGGCAGTCCAAAGCCACGGCCAGGATGAGCAGTTCGAAGGCGAGAATTCAGATCCGTGTCTGGGCAAAAACCCTAACTTAAAACCCAGGAGACTGAGGGGGATGTGGTTTGTGAAGGCAGAAAGGACTATTTCAATGAGGCGCCTGGGGGCTCAGTCGGTTGAGCATCCGACTTCGGCTCAGGTCATGATCTCACAGTTCGTGAGTTCGAGCACCGCATCGGGCTCTGTGCTGACAGCTTAGAGCCTGGAGCCTGCTTCCGATTCTGTGTCTCCCTCTCTCTCTCTGCCCCTCCCCTGCTCACGCTCTGTCTCTCTCTGTGTCTCCCAAAAATGAATAGACATTAGATAAATTTAAAGGGGATGCAGAGAAATGTCCAGGCAGGAATACTGAGGCGCTAAAACAGAGCAGTCGAATTAGAAAAAGAAAGGGTTCCAGGGGAATCAGACAGGCTGCATCGACAGGGCCGGCGACCCACGGGAGGCGGATGGCACAGGCCTGACCCCAAGGTCTGGCGTGGCTCCCCGGAGAACGGCACCATCCAGGGTGGGAGCAGAGCCGGCTGAGCATCTGGACCGTGCTAGACAGGTCCCCCTCGACCCAGGTAAAGACTACTACCCAGAGGAGGCTGCCGAAACCCCCCAGCAGCACGGGGGGCTCACCCCCTACCGACGGCCATTGTGCGTCATGAGCAGTCCCAGGAGCTCGTATACATAATAACGTCTGCAGCAAACTCTACTGAAGGGCTGGTTCCGGGAACGGATGCTGCTTTGGAGTCCTCTGTTCCTGCCACAGGCCAGCGTGCTTACCACCACCCTCAGTGACCGGTCTTGGGGGAGCTCCACCCCATTTACCTTCTAAACCCCAGTCACACTGGTGGCTTTTCTGTGCAGCCTAGCGATTTATTCACCTCATGCCCCCGGGCCTTTGCACATTCCATTTTCAGTCTGGAATGCTGTTCCCCCGGCTGGTTCCATCATTCCGTTCTAGTGTCAGCTCAAACGTCACCTCTGCAGAAAGCCCCTCTCCGATGCCACTGTCGAGGGAGGTTTAAATCCACACCCCTTCCCAGGTTCCTTCAGGCCACCCCTTTGGTTTCTTTTCCACTGCGCATGCTTCTCTGAGTTCACCTTGATCGTGTATCTACTCGCTTGTTTTCTGGCTGTCTACGGGGATGTCACGCGGGACCTCGTCTTTCATATCCCAGCTTGGCACTCCCATTCCGTAGCCCGGCACCCAGCAATGCAGTAGGTGCTTAATAAATGCACGCCAGATAAATGCAACAAGCTGGAAAGCATCCTACAGCCCCTCTAGTGCAGTCGCACATTTCACGGGTGGGGATTCTGAGACCACGTCGGGGCACCCGCAGGAGACTCCCACTTTCTCCCGCTGTCTGCCGGAGGCTGGCACACGTTTCCATCATGCCAGCCCGAACTTCGCCAACAGGAGGGAGACAAGGGCTACTTCTGTGTCCTGTTCACCAAGACGTCAGACAGCCGCCAGAGATCCAGAGCACCGTCAAAGAGCTCTGTGATCCCGGGGTACCAGGAGCCCTGTCCAGCTGGGAGGCTGGAATGGCATTAAGAGTCTGCTCTGCTGACACACTGGGGCCTTTTTTTTTTT